TCATGATTTTTGGCAAAAAAATGATAAAAACTAAAATTTTTAACTGGGAATGCAGTTAGATTGGAAATTTTAATACGAGATCAACGAGGCATAACACTTTTTCCTCCGATAATTTTTGGGAAAGTTATGCAAAAAAAATGACTTTCTTATGACAAAAATTTAGTATTATCGAATTTTGGAATTTCGGAAAGGGGTTACATCATGATTTTTTGCAAAAAAATTATAAAAACTAAAATTTTGAACTGGGAATGCAGTTAGATTGGAAATTTTAATACGAGATCAACGAGGCATAACACTTTTTCCTCCGATAATTTTTGGGAAAGTTATGCAAAAAAAATGACTTTCTTATGACAAAAATTTAGTATTATCGAATTTTGGAATTTCGGAAAGGGGTTACATCATGATTTTTGGCAAAAAAATGATAAAAACTAAAATTTTTAACTGGGAATGCAGTTAGATTGGAAATTTTAATACGAGATCAACGAGGTATAACACTTTTTCCTCCGATAATTTTTGGGAAAGTTATGCAAAAAAAATGACTTTCTTATGACAAAAATTTAGTATTATCGAATTTTGGAATTTCGGAAAGGGGTTACATCATGATTTTTGGCAAAAAAATGATAAAAACTAAAATTTTTAACTGGGAATGCAGTTAGATTGGAAATTTTAATACGAGATCAACGAGGCATAACACTTTTTCCTCCGATAATTTTTGGGAAAGTTATGCAAAAAAAATGACTTTCTTATGACAAAAATTTAGTATTATCGAATTTTGGAATTTCGGAAAGGGGTTACATCATGATTTTTTGCAAAAAAATGATAAAAACTAAAATTTTTAACTGGGAATGCAGTTAGATTGGAAATTTTAATACGAGATCAACGAGGCATAACACTTTTTCCTCCGATAATTTTTGGGAAAGTTATGCAAAAAAAATGACTTTCTTATGACAAAAATTTAGTATTATCGAATTTTGGAATTTCGGAAAGGGGTTACATCATGATTTTTTGCAAAAAAATTATAAAAACTAAAATTTTGAACTGGGAATGCAGTTAGATTGGAAATTTTAATACGAGATCAACGAGGCATAACACTTTTTCCTCCGATAATTTTTGGGAAAGTTATGCAAAAAAAATGACTTCCTTATGACAAAAATTTAGTATTATTGAATTTTGGAATTTCGGAAAGGGGTTACATCATGATTTTTGGCAAAAAAATGATAAAAACTAAAATTTTTAAGTGGGAATGCAGTTAGATTGGAAATTTTAATACGAGATCAACGAGGCATAACACTTTTTCCTCCGATAATTTTTGGGAAAGTTATGCAAAAAAAATGACTTTCTTATGACAAAAATTTAGTATTATCGAATTTTGGAATTTCGGAAAGGGGTTACATCATGATTTTTTGCAAAAAATTGATAAAAACTAAAATTTTTAACTGGGAATGCAGTTAGATTGGAAATTTTAATACGAGATCAACGATGCATAACACTTTTTCCTCCGATAATTTTTGGGAAAGTTATGCAAAAAAAATGACTTTCTTATGACAAAAATTTAGTATTATCGAATTTTGGAATTTCGGAAAGGGGTTACATCATGATTTTTTGCAAAAAATTGATAAAAACTAAAATTTTTAACTGGGAATGCAGTTAGATTGGAAATTTTAATACGAGATCAACGAGGCATAACACTTTTTCCTTCGATAATTTTTGGGAAAGTTATGCAAAAAAAATGACTTTCTTATGACAAAAATTTAGTATTATCGAATTTTGGAATTTCGGAAAGGGGTTACATCATGATTTTTTGCAAAAAATTGATAAAAACTAAAATTTTTAACTGGGAATGCAGTTAGATTGGAAATTTTAATACGAGATCAACGATGCATAACACTTTTTCCTCCGATAATTTTTGGGAAAGTTATGCAAAAAAAATGACTTTCTTATGACAAAAATTTAGTATTATCGAATTTTGGAATTTCGGAAAGGGGTTACATCATGATTTTTTGCAAAAAATTGATAAAAACTAAAATTTTTAACTGGGAATGCAGTTAGATTGGAAATTTTAATACGAGATCAACGAGGCATAACACTTTTTCCTCCGATAATTTTTGGGAAAGTTATGCAAAAAAAATGACTTTCTTATGACAAAAATTTAGTATTATCGAATTTTGGAATTTCGGAAAGGGGTTACATCATGATTTTTTGCAAAAAAATGATAAAAACTAAAATTTTTAACTGGGAATGCAGTTAGATTGGAAATTTTAATACGAGATCAACGAGGCATAACACTTTTTCCTCCGATAATTTTTGGGAAAGTTATGCAAAAAAAATGACTTTCTTATGACAAAAATTTAGTATTATCGAATTTTGGAATTTCGGAAAGGGGTTACATCATGATTTTTTGCAAAAAAATTATAAAAACTAAAATTTTGAACTGGGAATGCAGTTAGATTGGAAATTTTAATACGAGATCAACGAGGCATAACACTTTTTCCTCCGATAATTTTTGGGAAAGTTATGCAAAAAAAATGACTTCCTTATGACAAAAATTTAGTATTATTGAATTTTGGAATTTCGGAAAGGGGTTACATCATGATTTTTGGCAAAAAAATGATAAAAACTAAAATTTTTACTGGGAATGCAGTTAGATTGGAAATTTTAATACGAGATCAACGAGGCATAACACTTTTTCCTCCGATAATTTTTGGGAAAGTTATGCAAAAAAAATGACTTTCTTATGACAAAAATTTAGTATTATCGAATTTTGGAATTTCGGAAAGGGGTTACATCATGATTTTTTGCAAAAAATTGATAAAAACTAAAATTTTTAACTGGGAATGCAGTTAGATTGGAAATTTTAATACGAGATCAACGAGGCATAACACTTTTTGCTCCGATAATTTTTGGGAAAGTTATGCAAAAAAAATGACTTTCTTATGACAAAAATTTAGTATTATCGAATTTTGGAATTTCGGAAAGGGGTTACATCATGATTTTTTGCAAAAAAATGATAAAAACTAAAATTTTTAACTGGGAATGCAGTTAGATTGGAAATTTTAATACGAGATCAACGAGGCATAACACTTTTTCCTCCGATAATTTTTGGGAAAGTTATGCAAAAAAAATGACTTTCTTATGACAAAAATTTAGTATTATCGAATTTTGGAATTTCGGAAAGGGGTTACATCATGATTTTTTGCAAAAAAATTATAAAAACTAAAATTTTGAACTGGGAATGCAGTTAGATTGGAAATTTTAATACGAGATCAACGAGGCATAACACTTTTTCCTCCGATAATTTTTGGGAAAGTTATGCAAAAAAAATGACTTCCTTATGACAAAAATTTAGTATTATTGAATTTTGGAATTTCGGAAAGGGGTTACATCATGATTTTTGGCAAAAAAATGATAAAAACTAAAATTTTTAACTGGGAATGCAGTTAGATTGGAAATTTTAATACGAGATCAACGAGGCATAACACTTTTTCCTCCGATAATTTTTGGGAAAGTTATGCAAAAAAAATGACTTTCTTATGACAAAAATTTAGTATTATCGAATTTTGGAATTTCGGAAAGGGGTTACATCATGATTTTTTGCAAAAAATTGATAAAAACTAAAATTTTTAACTGGGAATGCAGTTAGATTGGAAATTTTAATACGAGATCAACGATACATAACACTTTTTCCTCCGATAATTTTTGGGAAAGTTATGCAAAAAAAATGACTTTCTTATGACAAAAATTTAGTATTATCGAATTTTGGAATTTCGGAAAGGGGTTACATCATGATTTTTTGCAAAAAATTGATAAAAACTAAAATTTTTAACTGGGAATGCAGTTAGATTGGAAATTTTAATACGAGATCAACGAGGCATAACACTTTTTCCTTCGATAATTTTTGGGAAAGTTATGCAAAAAAAATGACTTTCTTATGACAAAAATTTAGTATTATCGAATTTTGGAATTTCGGAAAGGGGTTACATCATGATTTTTTGCAAAAAATTGATAAAAACTAAAATTTTTAACTGGGAATGCAGTTAGATTGGAAATTTTAATACGAGATCAACGATGCATAACACTTTTTCCTCCGATACTTTTTGGGAAAGTTATGCAAAAAAAATGACTTTCTTATGACAAAAATTTAGTATTATCGAATTTTGGAATTTCGGAAAGGGGTTACATCATGATTTTTTGCAAAAAATTGATAAAAACTAAAATTTTTAACTGGGAATGCAGTTAGATTGGAAATTTTAATACGAGATCAACGAGGCATAACACTTTTTCTCCGATAATTTTTGGGAAAGTTATGCAAAAAAAATGACTTTCTTATGACAAAAATTTAGTATTATCGAATTTTGGAATTTCGGAAAGGGGTTACATCATGATTTTTTGCAAAAAAATGATAAAAACTAAAATTTTTAACTGGGAATGCAGTTAGATTGGAAATTTTAATACGAGATCAACGAGGCATAACACTTTTTCCTCCGATAATTTTTGGGAAAGTTATGCAAAAAAAATGACTTCCTTATGACAAAAATTTAGTATTATTGAATTTTGGAATTTCGGAAAGGGGTTACATCATGATTTTTGGCAAAAAAATGATAAAAACTAACATTTTTAACTGGGAATGCAGTTAGATTGGAAATTTTAATACGAGATCAACGAGGCATAACACTTTTTCCTCCGATAATTTTTGGGAAAGTTATGCAAAAAAAATGACTTTCTTATGACAAAAATTTAGTATTATCGAATTTTGGAATTTCGGAAAGGGGTTACATCATGATTTTTTGCAAAAAAATGATAAAAACTAAAATTTTTAACTGGGAATGCAGTTAGATTGGAAATTTTAATACGAGATCAACGAGGCATAACACTTTTTCCTCCGATAATTTTTGGGAAAGTTATGCAAAAAAAAAAGACAAAACTTTTCGAACCCCCTTGTCAAAATTCGAAAATTTGAAAAAAAATGTTTTTTTGATATCACTTAAGAAGTGCAATGAGTGTTTAGTTTGGGTCTAAGGCTATTCAAAAAGTAAACATTTTGGTTGTGGCACAATTTGAAGGCAAGTTTCGACCAGAGTTACAACAAAAGCCTTATTAAACTCGTTGTTGATATAGCATATCGATTTATGTACAATTCAAACCAAAAGAATTTTATTTTTGGCCCAGCTTGGCGAGAACAACTTCATGGGAAAGATTGATTTGGGAACTAGGGCTGCTGCTGACCAACGCGTCTCTGCTCCGTGATCTTAAACTGCAGCAGGACCACGAGATAGGTGGCCATGAACGAGATGTTGGTCGTGATCAGCTCGCGGTTGATGTTTGCATACCCGTCCAGATTCATGATGGGCGGGTTCTTGTTGATGGCCACAAGCAGCATCTCCACTTCCTTCTGGGTGGCAGAGTCCACGGCGGTCAGGTTAATATTGAGCAGCTTGGTCTGGAAGTCAAGTCCGACCTTTCGGGAGGCGTAGTGCGCCTCGTTGCAGATGATGTACAGCAGGCCCATGCAGTAGAACACAATGACGAACAGGCCCACCTGGAAGTGCCTAATCAATACGAGCTATGCACTGGTGCGGCAAACGAACCCACCTCCTTGTAGGTTGCTCCGTGGTCGATGATTTCGCTGATGCTGCCGTAAGTGGCGATGATCGTTGTGAAGAAGATGACTAGACAGTACATGCCGTACATATTGGAGTACGCTCGTCCCAGCTGCTGCATCATGTGACTCAGGTCCACCCACAGATGGCGGTACTCGGTCAGTTTCTGGGCGGGCTTCTCGCCCCGAATGGTGGTCTGGATGCTTAATTTTTGTAACTTTGTAATTGTGCAATGAAATTATGTTTGTCTTACCTGCAGAGCGTCGGAAAGAGCGCGACTTGCAGTTCCAAATGCATTGCAGTTGATGTACCTTTCGGATTATAGAAGGAAAGTATTTACTGTCTTCACTTGGTTTTACCATAGGTGCTCACCACAAACTGCAGAAGCAGTTGAGCATGGCGATGATGGGGTAGTAGGCGAATGTGTACCACAGCCGGAAGTCCGGCTGCAGGAAGTACTGCGACAGGTTGATGGCGATGCTCAGGAGCCAGGAGAAGACGCACAGCGACCAGGTGAGTGGGTAGAGATTCGGAAAGACGATCGGCGAGCCGGTGGTCTTGAAGAATTTGTACTGGTAGTTGGTCCACATGTTCTTGAAGATGGCCACCTGGTGACCGTGCCGCCAACTGGCCACCGGGAGCAGAAAGTTGGTGAATAGCAGACTGATGAAGATTACGTTGTAGATGGCCTCATCGAAGCGCTTGTCCGGGCTGGTGATGAACTTTTTCACCCGCTCGCGCAGCACCAGAACCACAATGGTCGTCTGGCAGCTGTAGATGAAGACGGCCCACATGACCTGCTTGGAGCCCCAGGAGTAGCCCGTTCGGGGCAGGTTCTTCTCGGGCGGATTGCGGTGAATGGGCATCACGCCCATTATCTGGAAAAGCACCAGAAGGCTCTTGGTGGTCTGGTAGAAGGAATCGTGCTTGTCCAGTTCCAGGGGATCGTCCACAGTTTCCGGCTTGCGCACGTACACCTCCTCCATGGCATCGCCACGAGCCATCAGCTTCAGCTTCTCCCGGTAGCGCACCTCGTCCTCCAGAAACTGGCGCTGGTTGGGATTCAGCATGGGCACTACCTTCGAGGGCGGCGTCAGGCCACGACTCACTGCCCAAAACGACATCGTGCGATCGAGGAAAGTCGTACGGCTTCCCAGTGACGGACCTTTTATACTCCTCCACGCAGCCTTGCTATTGACTTTCGATTGAAAGACAAACAATGAAAGGGACACGCCCGGAGGCGGTGCCCATTTGCTTGCCCTCCATTAAATATGCTTAAGTCCGGGACATGAGCACGAGCCTAGTGGGGCAGCTTTCCTGCAGTCAGAGAAAATGTTGCGATACGCAAATCTGCGATTGTGAATCTTCATTTTCCAGCAGGAAATCTATATTTGATGTATCTATAAAAATAATCAAAAGCTGTGTGGAATATTCTTTTAGACTTGCTTACATGCGCTGGCATTCATTCTACCTCTGATTTCTCTCAGTGTCCGCTTGTTGTGGTCATTCTGCTGACACCGACCAACGGGTGACCCCAACAGCAGGGCAGGATGCGGAGGAGGAGGCGGAGGAGGCGGCCAGCTGAGGGCGACCGAACGGAGAAGGTACATAAAATGCGCTTAATTTGCCGGAAATGAAAGTTTAACGATGTGTAAATGCTTACGAATGCCGATAGAGGCTCGCACTAATGACCAATAAAAATGTGCCACCAACGGGAGGGACTGCCTTCTCCAGCGCCATCTTCGCCTTTGTCACAATCCTTGACCCCTGTCCCAGTTCATCTGGTCCGGCGTGTGTGTGGGTCTGACTTTTGATCTATTTCTGCCTCAGATACCAAAAGGGCCGGCATTAATGGCTCTAAAGGCGCTTAAAGCCCGGCGCGAGTGGAGCGAAAATCCATGGCAATGACAGCCGTTCTGCCCTCAATCCCCTAGAGCAACTCCGCCGGGATAAGCCAAAAGCGAGCTACAAATCTTCCCCGAAGAATGTTTGGAATTTGCGAGCCCCATTTAAAGAGTTTCACGGGTTTCGGGGGACTCGTAGCCAACTGTTGCGAGTTCGACCCGGCTCTTTGGCCAGAGTTTCCCTGTTTTGGCACCGAAACTCACTTTCGTTGCACACAGTTTGGCAAACTCAGCTCTTTTAATGCGAAAACTTTCAAGACAAACGACAAGTGGGAGTGCATAAATAAAGTGTTTAGCTGGTTTTTTATGCCCACCAAGTGGGTGCGCCGTGTCACATAATTGCACCCAACTTGAGGCGGCGGCTGCAGCTGCACTTTAAAACGCGCTGGCGTGGCCTCATCCTTCAGGATGCGGCTTTAAGAACCGATGCAGCGCATCCCAGGATTTGTGGGCTCTGCTGCTGCCTCGTCCCCTTCGCAGGACGTGCCTATTCCGAGTGTCACTGCAACCGAGCGAATCTCTCATGGCCGCCGGCTGTCAGCCACCAGGCGTCCTTGGCGAACAAGTTACATTTCGATTTCCGAATCCCGTGGCTTGAATGCTCCCTCTGCTCCTCCACCGCCGCCTTAGGCTGCCATCCATCACTTGGCTGCACTGAAAGGAAATCCCACTTTATCTCAATGCTTCATTCCTTGAGAAAAGTTTCGGTTCTAAAAGGACTTGACTTAAGTGCTGCAGGTAACGCAAATAGGATGCACAACCCAAAACACTACACCACACTGCACAATTTCATTCCACTATTAATTCAATAATGTTTTTTTCCCTTTAAACCAAGCGTTTTCTCGCCGTAGACGTAATGCAAGTATCTTGTGCAAAATGGCGCTGAGAAAATGTGAGAAAGATTTACTTTTTGCAGAAAGGACTTTTATTAATATCAAGGGAAGCGCGGAAGAGAGCAAGCCAAAAATGGATTTTAGATTGGCTGGAGTGCTGCGTCCTAAGCAGAGGATGACTCGGTGCTGGTGCGGCTGCTGGCTTCGCTGGTCGTGGTAGTGCAGTTGCTGGGAAGAGTGCCGTTTGGAGGCACTCCGCCTGGTCCTCCCTGGGAACCACCCTGAGATCCTCCCTGGGGTCCACCATGAGGTCCATCGTGCGCTCCACCATGAGGTCCACCATGAGGTCCACCATGAGGTCCACCCTGCGCTCCACCATGAGGTCCACCCTGAGGACCTCCACGTCGGCCACCTTGAGCGGCAGCCACGGCAATCAGTGCAAGGAGCGGGATGATGAGGAAGGAACGCATCTTGTTTGGTGCTTATACCTGTCAGCGGCACTGGACTTTGATAGCCCCTCGCCAGTTGCACAAGCCTTTTATACTCCCACCTCGCCACTTTCAGCGACTTGGTAACCAGATGGATTTCGGTGACGTCGCCGGCGATCAAATAAATGTCCGGTGTTACTTGGTAAGACCGGAGCCGGACAAAGAGTCTTGAGCTGTTCCAAACGCTGGATGGATAGATGAAGGAATATCTGTTTTTCCCAGCGCCACAGACCAGCTGCTCTTGATTCGTTTTCAATACTGTCGTCGTCGCTCTTTTTGTTTGTGTTTGGGTTTGTCCAGTCGACTATTTATCACCACAAAAGGTGGGTGGTGCGGGTGGTTTTTATAGCTAATGGAGTTGTCGCCTTCTGATTCGATTCCGTTTGGTCTGCGGCTAATTCATCAGCTCGACCAGCAGCGGATGCGATTTATGAGTTTGCATGGGTCCTTCAAATGCAGGACCGATAAATAAATGTTAATTTAATTTGCTTTGGTCGGGGAAAATGGAAGGTCTGAATTGCGCACTCGAAAGTGCACTTGAATTAATTCGAGCTGTGAAAAAGGCGTAAAAGTAGTAGTAATGCTATCAACTATCAACTGAAAATGCCAATGCTCACACAATAGTTTACTCCTCAGGGCAGTTTATATAATAACCAGCCTCGTTTGACGTCGAACTTAAATGAATCAAAGCAATCCAGCTTAGCCACTTTCCAGTTTAATCACATTTGCGAGCTGTGTAGGCGAGGATGGCACTCAGGCTAATGCAATTAAACATTAATCATACGCACTGTGTGCCAGGCCGGACCAGCAGGATACATATGTCGATGTCCTAGACCCGTTGCCGTTGCCGATTCCGTTGCCGTTGCCGGGTTACACTCACAGTTTTAGAGCGAGGCATCCACAAATTAGCAAATTGGACATAAATTGACTAATTAGTGCTAAAAGCAAGTGGCCAATGTTTGCTCCAGCCACACCGAGCACAGGCTGCAATCTCAACGCCCCTTTGTAAATTCTGTGATATGGAAGGGAAAGTGATAATTCAATGTGCGTAAATGGAAACTAATTTCGTTTTATTGCGGTCTCCCCTACTCCTTTCCACGATCCTGCGCCTTCCCACTTGGCTGGGGAAATTAAAATGCAAATTTCATTTGCATTGGAAATTCATCGCTTTAATGAGCGCTGCAATTGCAATTAAAAATCTGAACAACTGTGGAATGTTTCCCGTTCCCTGCCCCGACTTTTGCCCATTTTTGGCCTCTGGCCATAATCCACGGCCCAATGCGTTCGCCTTCTATAATTTGCCGAGCTTAGTCCGACCAAGATCTTCAAATTTTAATTAAAAACGCTTTGCATATTTTTCCTCAATTGATTTTTGTTTTCCGTCCCACCAAGTGCAGTTAAAGAGCAAGAAATGTGGGTGTTGGGTGTTGGATCGAACAAATTGTGCCATTATTCCGGTCACGCTTTTGTTCTCGGGAATTGATGGTTTAATCAGCTGTCTATCCGATCCATGGGAAGGAATCCATCTGCTCGGATTTGGCTCGCTGCCTCGAAGGTCCTTTTTTGGTGGCTGATAATTGAAAAACACACAGGCGCCTAGTGCATCAATTAGCAAAGCAAACGCAGCCACTCAGCCGACAAAGACGAAACGCAAACCGCTCCGAAGGACCTTTTCCCGCAATCCGGAGAATCCTGAGTATCCTGACAGTCCCGACTACTGCAAGTGCATTCTATTAGTTGCCAAGCCCCAAACCGAGTTTTTATCTCTGGGCAAACAGTCGCAAGTGCCGCACAAAAGACAAAGAGGCGAGCTATTGTCCTCGATGGATCACCCTCCATTCGCAGCTCCACTGCGCCAAAGTCTATACTGCCATGCAAATGCTATGGCATTAAAGGATTTCCCAACTGCCGCGTTCCTGCTTCCATTCGTTAGTATCGCCATCGCCATAGCCATCGCCGTCGCCATGGCCGGCTTTTATTGACTTTGCGCATTTAACTTTTAATTTTCACCATGTTAAAGAGTCGAGCTCGGTGGGCGGGTGAAAAGCGGGGGTGGTGCCGAGCTGAATGGCAAAACTTTTTCCGTTAAATGCTGAAACAACCCCGTGCGCTTTAAGCGGTTCTTCTTGTTCGGCGTTTGGGGCTTGTAACACCTTTTAGTCCACTAAATGTATTCACATACCCTGGGCCTTGCGGGGCATATTGCTCAGACGGCTGTTTTGGCGCTTCCACTTGTACTTCATAAATATTGCATTTCACTAGTTTAATAGGAACATGTTATTTCGCTCGGGTATTTGATAATTATATACAGGATTGATTAAAATCTAGGGTTGCTTATGATGAGGGAACCTCAGCTGAGCTGGCTTCAGAGGTGCTCTCCTCGGTGGTCAAGGTGGTGCTGCTGTTGGAGAGCTCAGTTCCATTCGGAGGCAGACCTCCTTTCTGCTGACCTCCCTGTTGTCCTCCCTGAGGGTCTCCTTGGGGGCTTTCTCGGAGTCCTCCTTGCTGACCACTTTGAGGTCCTTCTCGACTACCTTGCTGTCCACCTTGAGCAGCAGCCAGGGCAATCAGAGCGAAGAGGGCAATCAAATGTAGGAGCGCAGTTTCTCGCTGGTAGTTCGGCTTTGCTGGGTGAAAACTCGGCTCGTAATAGCTCTTCCCACAGCCAAAGCCGTTTTATAGGGTCTGAATTTTCCATTAGGCCCCAAACCTGATTCTCAACAACAGTTGCTGCTGGGGCGCCGTCACAGAAATCAAACAAACGTCTGCGGTACTTTGGTAAAACCGAGAGCCAGACACAAAGGGAGTTCAAAGCTGGGCGAAATGTTTACTGTTTGCCACAGACTAATTTACCTAAAGTGCGTCATCTAGAAGCAACTCCCACTTGTGTTCTCTGTTTATGAAATTTGCAGTTGTTATTTTTAGTTTTAAAATGTAAATGTAACTTGATTTTGAAATACTAAGGAATCTCCATTAAATCCAATTTAAGGGATAATAGAAATGGATAATAGTATTCAAAGTACTAGATACCCAAAAGTCGTTAGACTTGCCTCTAGCCCCATAACCTTGTTTTCCGCCGTGAAATTATTTTCACACGAAGCGCTTTAGAATATTCCTTGCCCGCGGCGGCATCGCCATAGAAGTGGAGTGCCGTGTAAATATGGCATCCTCCATCTCCGACCCGAAAGCCACCGCCAAGCCGACTCATCTCCATCCGAAACTGAGCCTGGAATGACATGAAGCGGCATTCGTGCGCATTTCGGGCTCAATTTTGCGGAGCCCACGCGGCGTATACTTAACCGGGCGGCCTGCATATTTCACTTTATGCCGCTTAATCGGCAAAAAAGAGCGTAAAAGCGCAGCAAAATGATAAAAAATAGATGGCGGAGAGCCCAACCAAGCTGCATGCAATATTTATGATTATTTTTTCAATTTCGCTTCGATCGCTTCGGCCTTGGAAAATTTCATTTGCTGCATTTCAGCGCCGCTGCTGCTCATCCTGATTTTTCCGCTTTTGTTGCTACTGCTGCAGCCTTCGCAGGAAGCCAGGATGTGTTTTCCTTTCAATTTGTGCTCCTTAAGTGTATGAAGGCAAGCAGGAGCTCGGCAAGGAAAGCGATGACTTGACTCAAGTTGGATACAACTTCCTGCCTGCTGCGTGGCTAGTGCACACGGAAAATAATCCAGGATTCGCAGGTATCAGGATTACTGCCGAAATGCTGGAAAGATTTCTTATTTTAGGAAAAGCGCTTGAGTTCAGCGACAAACATCTTCGTGCCAATCGAGATATTAAGGACGTATTAAGTGTGCTTGCCAGTGATTTTCTCTCTCTGTTCTGGGAAGGGGCAACTAATTCCACCTGAGGATAATACGATTTCCTTGCATCTTCCGCTACGAGTCCACGCGTTCTTTAGCCCCTTGCAGATTACATTTGCTACTTTCGCAAATCTGCGTGTGTTCCTGTACTTTTGCAGTTGCCTTCATTTTTCAAAAGCGCGAATTTAGTCGGCAGCCAACTCATGTGTGCGAGTGCCCCGCTCCCCCCCGCAGTTTTCCCCCTGATGAATGGTTCATGTGTTTCACTAACCAATTTGCGCTCTGCGCTCGACGTGATTTACAGTTCCCCAGCGAGCTGTTTTGCCTGCTCCACTCGCCTCAGTTGCCTCAGTCGCCCAGTTGCCCAGTTGCCCAGTTTGCCCCACTTGCTCCAGTCGCATGTGGCAGCTGGCAGCTGGCTTAACCCTCCGGTGGCCACGACGCAGATCACTGGATCTATGGGAAATCGAGGCTAGTCTCGCGCTTCTATTTGACTGAAAGTCAATTAGGCACTGTTGGAAAATTCTATGTTGGTCATTGGCATACAGAATCAGTTGCCAGATTTTCAGATTTCATCAGCTTGTACCTGTGGGTTCCAATAAATTTGCACGGTTGTCACTGACCCTTACAATATCTGAAGTTAGTAGGAGTATCCTGGCGTATCCAAGGACGTGGATTTGATGTTCGAGCTGCCATGAAAACTTTCCGGCGCCAGAGGGTTAATCGCTTGTGGATCCCAGTGGGCTTAAGCCCTGCCGCATAGTCCAGTCAATGGCAGAGCTGGCTTAAAGCGCCTTTGCACTGCACTCTGGTGTCCGCGCTCGCCGGAGTGGGAAATGCAAATCAATTGATCACTTCGCCGGTCCACGACGGATGGCCTTCCACCCACCGACCGCCGCCCAGCCTGCTCCTACCCAAAAACCCACCCCCCTTGTGGCCAAACACTCCAGTGCACTAAAAGTGGCCGCTTCGCTGAGCAGCGAGTGAATGAGAAGACGACTTTGTACTGCATTTCATGAGCCACCGCATATGCGTTTGCCCCTCCACTTTCCCACTGCCATTTGCAACTGCCGTTTGTCGCTGATTTCGGTGCGGGGGGCGGAACTCTCTTGGTGGCAATCTGCGGGATTCTCGGGGGAGGAGGTTGCATGCCTGCGATTTGCTTTAAAGTGGCTTTCAGCAGCAGCACAGTGTTGCATACTTTTTTGCGTCAATTGCTGCTTGGGAATAATCCCGGCATTTTTGTCAAATGAGCAGCGGCTTAATTAAGCGATTTGCAGGCATTAGCCTTAATGATGCCAAAACACTGGAATTTAGCCACAGCACATTACAGATAGAAAGCTGATATCATTTTATTGCAAAAGCTCTTAATAAAAAAGGCAAGGACAAGGAACTGGGCAAGCCTTTCATTGGGTTTAATCTATAAGTTACGAAGGGGAAACCTCAGTGGAGCCGGATTCAGAGGTGCTAGCCTCAGTGGTCGAGGTGGTGGTGCTGTTGCAGAGCTCAGCTCCATTCGGAGGCAGACCTCCTGGACCGCCAGGACCTCCCTGCTGCTGACCTCCCAGTTGTCCTCCCTAGGGGCCTCCTCGGAGTCCTTCTTGCTGACCTTCTTGGCCACCTTGTTGACCACCTTGATGTCCACCTGGATGTCCACCTGGATGTCCACCTGGATGTCCACCTGGATGTCCACCTTGAGCAGCAGCCAGGGCAACCAGGGCGAAGATGGCAATCAAAACGTAGCAGCGCATTTTCTCTCTGGTGGTTCGGCTTTGCTTTGTGCAATTCAGGTTGTGATGCTTTCTCCAACAGCCTAAGCCCTTTTATATTCTCTGCGACTTTCTACTTTCCCACAGAAGGCCGCTCAAAAACAGCTGCTGCCCAGTTACGTCACAGATATCATATCGCAACAACGTCTGGGGTAAATGGGAAAAACCAAAATACAACTTGGTCTTGAAAAGTAGAACTTTTTTCATTGACTCATGCATTTGTCGTCTTTGCCTGAGAAGCAGCTGCTTTAGCTTCTGAGGTTTACATTTCCAGTTCTGTTTTTGTCTCGTATGTGGTTATGTCTTACTAGCTTAGTTTTAAATTATTTACTATTTGCGTTCAACATTTGTTTTGATTTGTTTGCATGACAGCTTATACCACACTATAAAAATGAAATATTTTCAAGTTTAATTTATGCTCGTAAGTCTAAATAAATCATGATAGCAAAGCCAGTAAGGTAAATTTTGAACTAAGCTGGTTGGACAGCTCAGTTTTGAAATCCTTTCCGCTGGTTTTTGAAGACAACAGTGATGCTGTTGTAATTGAGTAGCCTCTCAATTAAATTTTAGCTACAGTTCAAGAAAATATTGACTTTGGGCGCTGGAGCGGAGAAGAAAACAGTTGATCCCTCGCGGCGAGAATGTAATAAATTAGCCAGCAATGAACTCCAACAGCGCTGGCATCATAAATCATCTTTGGGACTAGGATTTTGAGTCCTAATTATCGCGCTAGTCGCTGGGCCAAAGCCTTTGCTTCTGCTCCATCTACATCTCCATCTCCAGGATCCCGCTTCCCTCTCCAATAGCCATGACGAGTCCATCCATGACCAAAGCTAATCACGAGCACTGGCCTGTGCGAAACTGAAGCCAAGCGCGAAAAATGTTGCCACGCATAAAAATTTTGTGGGCCGCAATGGAAACTGAGGCGATTATCCTGTGTTTTTCCCAGAAGGGGCGTGAGTGGGCGGAGCTGGGATTGCGATAGCTTGGGTAGGGATGGATTGGGAAATGAAGGAATGATGGTAAGATGCCTCTCAATTATGCCTGCCTATTTATTCCGGCTTCGATTTCGTGTGTTTTTGCGGAGTTAAAGCGGTGAAATTGTAACTGAGATACGCTTAAAGTCGTCTCTGGGCGGGTGCTGTTGAAAAAATTTGATTTTAATTGAATTTCTCATTTTCGGCGTGGCCTATTCAGGGGTTTTGTCGAGGGCCGTGACGTTGGCAAATTCAATTTGCCGCCAAATGAGCTAAATGCGATTAAACTCGGGCAGACAGACTGCACAGCTCCTCACCCAGTTTGGCATATTAAAGCCGAGACCGAAGCCTCTTAGCCGGGGCCAAATACAATTTCCCCAGGACCAGCAAGACATGACCGCCTTTGCGGCATGTGTAACATATGTCAGCTGGCCGGACTTGGCCTAAATCAATACAATTGTTTGGGCCCAGTTACCGCACTTGGTCCTTATTGTTCTTGTCCAAGGGGCGAAGGCCACAAGCGGCGAAATGAAGAAAACAATAAGCCAAAAAGTATTGTTCGCCCTCGAAGTTGCGATGCCCTGAAAATTACGATACTAAGGAAATGGTGAGGAAAAAATATTTACGTGTTTCGCCATAATTTAAAGGTATTTGGTTTGTGATGAGTGTGAAAGTAGCCAGACTTTGTGTTTACGAAATTTTGCTAATATCGCTTCAATTTTGCTACTGTGGAGAATAGTTGGAGTAGGGAAAATTGTTATGAGAAGAGATTTCTTTGGAAGAAGGATTTCAATATCGTGCACATTGCATACTATAAAAATAAATGATTTTAGCAGCCGGTGTTTATGTTTCCTCTCACATTGATGGTAATACATTTATGGCGAACAAATTTCATAAAATACGTTTTTAAAGATTTTAAAATATCTCGCAATAATAAATGCAAATGTCTTTAATCACTTTAGCCACGTTAAGCATTCGGTATGCTAGAGAATACACACTGTCCGCTTGATTGTGGGCCGCAAAGGGTCCATCATTTAGTTGGCTTACCCTTTTGAGGAAGGCATCGCTGTGGGCCGTGGATTTCCATCCGGCTCGAGGAACGACCGACAACAAGTTGTTGTCCCCGCTCCTTAAGTCCTTTTTGTGTCTGCGCCTTGGGTTTTTGCCAATTGGCGCCGCAGGACAATGGGAAGCCCAGGCGGTCAGGGAGTCGAGGGGAGCAGCAAGGAGCCAGCAAGCCAAAGAGTTAATAAAAAGTTGTCGTCGAGCAAGTTTTCCCTTGTATTTCCTCGGTCAGATCTTCCCTACCTCGCTCCTTCCCTCTTCGAATTCATTCTTCCCCCGGTTCGTTGTTTTATGGGGCTTCAGATTCAGATTCAGATTCTGATTCGGCGGCTGCAGCGTCAGCATTTCTATCGCTTCAGCTGTTTGTTGGTTTTCCACTTTCCACTTTTCACTTTATCGTGGCCTGGATGTTCTGGACGGCATGGGGGTGCTACTTGGCCTGTCTTGCGGCACTGCGCTTCGGTTCTGTTTTTATTTGCATACAATTTGCCAGTTTATGGCCGTCAAGAGCTGGCTCTGGTTGCGTCCGCATCGGGGGCATATAGACACATATACATACCCTGCTCCTGCGATTGGCAAATATATGTTATTTGTATTTATTGATTTCCAAGTGAAAACATTATTGAGGTTGGCCTCGGCTCCGTCATGAAAATTGTTGCGTACCCAAAGCAAATTTGCCCTTGTTGTAGCTGTAGCTGTATGTACGTAGCGCTCCCTCTCGTTGGAAATGTCGAACAACAAAAGGACTTCATTATTATTGGCTTCATTGTGCGGCTGTGTCTGTGTGTGCGTTTGCGTGTGTGTGTGTGTGTGTGTGTGTGCAGGATGCCAGGCCCATCGTGGCTGGCAAACTGATTAAATTGAATTTCATATGCAAAAGGTGAAACTCAATCAAGAAAACATAAAGGCGCTGCACACACAAAATAAAACCTGGCCGTACGCATAATTTCTAATAGTCGAGAGTCCAAATATGCATGCGTCTAATTGTGATTTTCAATGAAAAGCCTATTAATTTATCAATAAAGAACTGCAAACTACCGTCAAAGACTCGGGATAATGGCTTATCCTATACCAATGTACTTACTGAATATTTTGTGCGAAAAGGTCTTGCACTTTTCTCTCTCTGCACGTATTAGTGGCCGGATCTATCTGGAAGTGTGCGTATGTGCGAGTGCTCAGATTAACCAAAGCCAAGGTAGGGCTTTGCGGCTTTGTTGTGCGGCAGTGATATGCCGCACCCCTCGACCTTCCACCTTGCACCCCCTCCTGCCACCTTTGTAACCTTTGAGGTTGAAATTAATAGCAAAATGGAAATTAAAAGCCACTCGGCCAGAGCGAACAGGAAAATGCTGCGAGTCAGGGGTGAAATTGAATGACTCGCACTCGGCTGACTGAAAAGCTGCAACTTTGAGGGGCATTTAGGGCCTTTCAACAGCCATTTCACCACTTCAGCACCTCCCCTTTTCCCGCCCACCGAATGCGGAATACTTAAAAGGGAAAGCCTTGCTCGCAAGTCCGTTGGCGCTGGTTTTATGTTCATAGCTCGCATAGGTGATAATTTCATTTGGCCAAATCAAAACCTGAGACTCTCACACACTCGCAACAGCCAACCTGAGCCCCATACATCGAGCTAATAAAAATTTAATGAAATTACGAGGTCCTTCACTTCTTCCTCTCGACCCTTGGTGTAATAATCACGGCCGAAAAATTTTATGCCGCCTACGTGGCAAACTCTGAACCACCGAAAGCGGAACCGCCGAAAAGGGGAATTCAAGTGGAGCATAAAAGGAGCTATTAGCTGCCATATTTCCCCATTTTCCCGCTCCAACCTCGGCCCAGGAATCCTTTCCCCACTTCCCCACTTCTGCTTTCCCGTTCATGGCCTATTCGCGACGTTGAGGACACGCACATTTCGCCAGGAATTTTGTGGCTGCACTGATAAAAAAGAACAATAAGAACATTCATAGCCATAATCACAAGCCAAGGATATTCACACTAAGGATGCATGAAAAATATTTGTTCAGATCAAACTTTAGTTTTAATTTGGAGGCGTACTTTCGTGGCAAATCTTAGGATTTGTGTTTTGGATATTCTACTGCAGTATCTCTTTCATATTTCGGCCATTTTTCAGTGTGTGCATCTGTGCGAGCTTGTATGTGTGCGCAGGCGAGTGGGCGTGGCGCCGGGTGTGTGTGAGTGAGTCTGCATTAATGATGCATTGCATCTGCCATCCCGCGTGCCAGCTTAAAACGCTTCGCGTCGCTTAATTAGAGGTGAACTGGGGGCGGGCGAAAGGAAAGTTCGGGGCACGTGCATTTTAACTGACTTCTTGCCCCGTAATTGCGAAGGAACACAAGTTTTGATTAAAGTTTGTCCCAACTACACGGAGTTTACAGCCAGCGATGAGCGGCAATTATTGGCACAGCCATCTCCTGCTTAGACATAGAAACTAAACTCTGTTGCATTGGCGCAAAATACAGATAGAATTTCGAAATTTAAAAAAATATTGAAAAAGCTTTTAATTAAGCCACGCAAGTCCTGGCACACTGGGTTTAGCTAGTTCCTTTCCTCAGCTGTGCTCATCTCTGTCTGGCGCATTACGCATACGCCGCGTGAGCACGGAAAACTTTCCCTGCAGTGACGTCTAATTAAAACTTATTTTTGCAGCTCGAAGACAAAGGTTGACTTCTCCCCCGCGTCCGCCATTTTACAGCCTCCTTTGTTGTTGATTATGTTGACGCCAATGGAAATATTTATCAAGTCATGCCGTTGCAGGTGCCATATATGGATATATGGCGTGGTGCCGCTGCGGGCAAACAATGCAGATTACGCATACGCCATGTGTTGCATGTGTGGCTGCGGGAAGCGCGTGTCAAGTTGTCTTGCCAAAAAAGTTAAATGAGGCGAGGCGCAGCGAAACTTTGCCGCTGATTTGGACACGTTTGGCTTAGCTTTTCACCTGCGTTCCCCGCTCTAATTAAAATTTCAGCAGCTGCGCGAAATTAATGTGGTTAAGTTGGGCTAAGCGGGCTGAACTTAGTGCTGCACTTTAGGTCTCGCTTAAATGCCCGGCTCGCCAATGGATTCTGCCATATCCTTCCGATCCAGAAGCTCCGGGACAAACATTGCGGTGACCAGGACTCGGACCGGGCGACATCTAATGACCGCACGGCTCGTTTGCTTCATTTGCACTGAAATGGATGCACAACCGCAAATCAAACACAGTAAACTGGGTTGAGACCGGGTTGAATTGGCATAGGGAGCCCAGGGCCAGAAACTCAGCCACCATGAGAATTGAGAAAATTCCAGGAAACGTTTTGACAGTTGAACTCTCGGCCCGGTTATTTGATCTCCGCTTCTGGGCAGCAGGCACTTGTTTTGGCCAGCTCTTTTCGGAAGGCCCAGCTTCGGTTTTCAATAGAAATGCAAATTCAATTCCGTTCCACTTTGACAAGTCCTGACATTAGCAGGGTAATCTGATCATTAAGTGCGTGCGACAGATTGAAGGAGCAATATTTAAAATAGTTTCTCGCATGTGCAAGGCCTGGAAAGGAGTGACTTTAATTTCTCAGAGATGGAGAAAGGCAAATTGAATAATGAGTTTACAGCTTTTGGTGAAATAATTGAACTCCTCCTTGAACTCCTCGAAGTCCATAAGCTCAGAGCAGTGGATTATCTGTTATTCAGGACCAGATCGAAAGTGAGATATACTACAGCAAGTTGGCTGCCACATGGACGTGCCATCCAATCAAATGTGTATGAGCAGATTGGACAGCAAATATTTCTAGCTTTTCGCCAGATTTGACGGAATTGCTAATGCTTAAGCGAATCCTTGAGTTTCTGTTATTTTGTGGTTCATTACGTTCTGGAGCGCAAAATCAACGCTGCCTCGCTGCTTGGCATCGTCCCCGAAGTTTGCATTTGGCTCGATAAACTCGCACATACCCACATACTCGATAAACTCGAGCGTAGACACGTACGACAGTCGTTGTCGCGCCTTCCCGAAGGACACCCTTACCCGGAGATTTTCCCGGTACCGTCCTGCAGGCTGCTCCATCAACAGTTTGTGGCAGCTTGTTGAAATTAATCATTTGGCTGCCAAGACGCAGACTTCGCCTTTTATACTTTTTCGGGGGTATTTCAGTTTCGATAATAAGCTTGGCACTTGTACAGGTAACACAGGTTTCTCTATTTTTTCTGCCAGTTTCATCCATCTAATTTGCTGGGCGCTAGATGAAGAACCATTGCCGGTATCGCTCCATCGGAGGAAAGTAAAATGCTTCACTAGGGTATTTGAATTTTGGGCTTCCGATCATGCAGCTACATATTTTGCTAACCGGTTTCGACCGCTCCCCCTCATCGGTGCCCTCCATAGCAATCAGTTGGCAGCCTCGACTCGCTCCTTCTCATCTGTCGCCATGTTGCTACTTCCGTTTCCGCTTCTAGTTGGCTTTACGTGTGCACGCGTGTACGTGTGTGTGCCTGTGTGCAGTGTGTCAACAACATTATGTTATTCCTTCGTCAGACGTGCGCATGTGTGAGTGCTGGCGTACTGGCGTGCTGGCGTGCCACTCGCGTAATTTCCCATGGTAACTGAACATGCGAGTGCATCCTCCTCCGCGTTCACCCACATCCACTATCCACTCCTGGTGGCAGCTGCTTCCTGTCTTTTCCAGTTGTCGCGACAATAACTGCGAAGATTTCTCCTGCATTTGTTTACAGCTCGCTTATAATAAATTGCAATCACGACTCGAATGGCAACAGCTCACCGCTCGCCATTCCGCTGACTCTGATTGTATCTAACGGCGGCATTTGCATGGGAGCACACTTATTTTCCCCTTCCCACCCCTTGAGAATTTTCAATCAGCAGCTCGCTGGGCCAGAAATCCGTTTTCCGCTACTCGTTTACCATTTGCCATTTCCCGCTTACCCGTCGTCGCTCGGCTGTGATTCCTTCGCCGCGACTCCACCGAGATAACCAATTAGAACGCTCATGGCCTGGCACCTCTTAATCCGACTTCACTGCAAATAAGAGAAAATCAAATCATATATAGTATAGCGATATTATTATTATTATGCAGATTTTCCATCAACATGAAGTTTATTTCACTTGAAACCTAATTTTCCAGCATGAAAATTGATTGACTAAATTCAAATGAAATTGCGATTCTGATTGATTTAAGCGAATTGGATTTAAGAGCATATGTTTTTTGCTCTCAGTGCGCGCATCTCAATTAAAAGTGCGAATTGTCATCAGTGCGGAAAATGTTTAACGTGGATGTTTTTATGCCTGATTAAGCAGAAGGTCCGGGTTTGAGACCCATAAGAGACCCCAACCTGTGTGCGAGCATATTTTGTCATTTCCAGCGCTGACAGCAGCCACGTACCAGAAAGAAAAGTTGAGTGAAATGCCGGGGGAGGGGAAAACTTTTTGGCCAGCATTTTGGCGTTGCCTGGTTCTGGCTCTGGTTCTGGTTCTGGCTCTGGCTTTTCCCCAAATTCCTCATTTCGCCCCCGGTTTTTCCATCTGCTGCTGTTGGCTGTTAGCTGTTGGCTTGTTATGTGTAGCTGTTTCAGTTCACTCGCTTCTTTGAATTACAGGCAGTGCATGGCAGGCAAATTTATTGGCAAATTGGGAGCACAGTGGTTTCCTTTCATTTCCCTTTTCTTTTTCCTTTCCTTTCCTTTTTTTTTTTTTGGCCGACAGAGGGGCACGTGTGTGTGCCGGCGCACTTGAGTGTATTTTTTACAGCTTGCTTTTTGTTTATGTTGTTTTTATTGATTGAAAATAACTTAGTGCCGTTTTATGAGCCACCTTCTGGGGGAGGCGGCGTAGGGGATAGGGGAATAAACTTGAGCGCTTTACGCCAAAGGTAAATAAAGTGCAAGAGCTTGTGCGGGGCCGACGGCTCGTGGGAATCATAGCAGACCCTCGAGCATTGTTGTTAGCCATACATTCGCCGCTCCCGATGATAATCCTGAATAATTAGCGCGAATTGGCGCGTGGCTCCGCAGAGACGCCATCGCCGTCGCATCAGGAGAGATCTGCTCACTTAATGCACTTTGGCATATGCGTAAATTGCCTTTGGCGCGGGTGCTAATTAAGTGGGCTTTGTGCCCTTGGGCTCAACTTTAATGAACCGACCGCAGAGCCGCCGAGGCGAGAGCCACCAAAGAGGTTTCCGAACAATGTGCTTGGTGCCTTTTTTTGCGCGGGGCTCAACCTGTTGACCCAGAGCCCATTTGTCAATGCCCTGCTTTTCGGGCAGTGGCGTAGGCAGCGATTGAGTCGAGGGGTCACATTGCGGGATTGAGCCTTTAGAAAGGTTATCTTAGCAGTTCAAAGAGGGGGTACTATCAGCGGTTAGCTTGAAAGTAGGAAAGTATCCAACAGCGAACATAACATCACATAAAGCATTCGGAATGATTCACACTCTCGATTCGCACTTCATCGTCAAGTTCATATTCTTAATATTTTTCCGCCAACAAAACTGATGAAACATTTGAGGATTGACAAATTTACCAACCAATTCAGCCACATATCGCCACTGCACATGGCCCATTTTTACTCATTTTGGTCGCTCTGCCTTTTTTCGGGACCTGTCTCCGGCTCCGGCTCCGGCTTGACCATATTAATTAGCTTGATTAAAATTAATATTTGCGCAACTTTTGCGACGCCACGAAATGTCGTCGTCGGCGAAATGGACCGGGAGCAAGTGGGGACGTGGAGGGCGGCAGCTGTGGCAAATATGTGCAATAAATAAACATTTCGCCGCTGTGACAGCCCTTCGGGCAAAAGGTACTCCAACTGTAATAAAGCAAATACAAAGACAGCAGCTTCGTTTTATTGAGCGGAAGCGGAGCACGACCTGTGACCTCTGACCCCCGAACACCGACCACCGACCACCGACCACCAACAGTGAGCCAAGTGGCAACAAAGAGCGCGGGGATAAATCCGGGAGCGCCAGTTTGGGGCGATGGAAATCGGGGAGTGGAAGCCACTGAATGGAGCCATGAAAAATGTTGGCGTATTCATTCGTTCGGCTACGAGTGTCACCATCACATCTATCCCCAGCCACGGCTGTACACAGGGAGAAATACTTAGCCCAAACTAACCATTTACAACTCAAAGTAATACCCAAACCATTTTATTAACCAATCAAGCAGTATCAACTTTGCAATAAGTATTAACAATTATTACAAGAGAACGATTTAAAGAACAAATTATTTCTCGGCGTGCACCCTTTTGCCCTCGTGTTGTCCTCACTGTTTATTTGGCCGCTTCAGTTTCATGTGCTTTTTGTTTTACGAGCATAAAGATAAATTCACACGCCACCAAACTCGCGAGGATCTGCGGAGAGAAAGTGCACGGAGCAGAGGAGCAAAGAAGCCGGGCTCAGGTCAGGTCGACCGCCCGGCGATTCGGTCATCCGATTTATTTATTTATTTATGGTAACAAATTGCAGCGTCAACTTAATCACCGAACTCTATTAGTCTCGGTGGCCATTGTGCAGGATCCAACTCATTTCACGGCTTTGTACAAAGTCATTTCTCTTGGCCCGCCCGACATTGGTATCTGAATCCGTGAGCCTGTGAGTCTGTGAATCTGTGAATCTGCAGCGGCCTCGGTTCCCCCGAGGCGGCACTCAATAAAACAAGTTTAATTAATTAATCATTATTCTGGCTTGGCATTTCTGCTTAGACTTCTCTGTTTATTCAAGTTATCCGAGTGGTGGGTAGGTGGACTTTGGATTGCAGGAGTGTGGCGTGTGGATTGAAGTCGATTGGGATTACAATGCTAAAACTTACGACTTAGTCTTGAGCAGTTCTCAAGTGTTTTGGCTTTCGCCCTAACATCTCTGGACTCTTGCACGATTCAAGGTTAGTCTGCGATGATTAATCATACTCACTGGCTGCCAACCCCTGCTCTACTCTGATTCTGCTTCTGGTTCTGCTTCTGGTTCTGGATCTCGGCTGATGCTAGGTTCTAACTTTAAGTACGATTCTTAGTATTGCTCACTGGATACACTGTAGATACACCGCAGATACAGCCGTCCTGCGGCGGCACAACAACAAGAAAACAAACACTAATGCAGCTACTTACGACTAGGAGGATGATAAGTTGCAAGGGGTTAAGGAGCGGGTTGATCACAACTGGCTGGGAATGGATACTGGATACTGGAAACTGGCCGACAAACGCATCTACTTAACCTAGATGATGGTCCTACGCGGCCCAGGGTCAATCACATTGCGGAGGAGTTCTACACAGAGAGATGCGATTGGGTCTAAGACTAAGCTTAAACGACCTCGATGTTATCTTATTAATTTAAAGACACAAATGAGAGTAACATTTTTTAATGACCTAAAGCTATCTTGAGGAAATAATATCCATGCTTAGTAAAGGAACACTACACTAGGCCTTAGGAAATGATTATCAAGAAATAGTCTAAAAAATATAGAGGCATTTTGCTAAACATTTGGCACCCCGAGGCGAATACTGATGGTAGTTCTCAGAAAACCTTGCTGATATCGAAAACATAGACTCAACGCGAATATATCAAGATAAGTTCTACCATTTCACAAATTTCTTAGTTTACATTGTAAATTTTTCTACTTCTAGGCAGAGCACAATGTGCCTGCAGTTTTCTCTGTGTAGCTGATTCTGCTAAGTTCAGGAAAATGACTAGCTATGTGAACTTGTCGAGGAAGGGGGGGTTCCTATCGTGACTTATCTAGCTTTTTACCCTAATGCGTTTGATTGCTTTAAGCTGATGATTGGTCAGTTGCACACGCGCTATTCTGGGGCAGATTTTGTGGGCGTGTGATAAAATAATTGCTTGGTGTTTCGCTTCTAATTGACGAGGACTTGGATTTGGACTGTGGACAGTGGACAGTAGACAGTGGTCTGTGGACAGGGCATCTCATTTACTCCGTGCCATTCGCAGGCGACTGCTGCTCCTCTTCCTGTGAATCGCCGAGGGAAAGCCTCGACTTGCCCGCTGTTTCCATGGATTTCCAGGTGCCTCCACTGGTGGCCTGCTGCAGGGAAATGCGAGGAATGGACTTGCAGCTGCCCAAGATGGAGCTGCTATCTCCGGGACGGTCCTCGGATTCCGCCAGGGCGCTGAGACTACAGGTGGGCGGCAGGATGCGGTGTGGAAAGCGTGGCGAACCCCTTACCCTTTCCCTTAGACTGGGCGGCGGCTGCACCACCGAAGGTCTCCGGTTGCTAGGCAATTGGAAGTTCACCTTGGTCTCCAGCAGCTTCACGTACTTGCCACCCAACGTTTGGTCCCCCTGCTCACCCCCCGAAATAGTGGGGATGGGCAGGAAATTCGGGTCCTTGGTAAGGTGATCCAGGTGTGTACCGCTTTTGGTCAATGAACCCCTATGGATGGGCTTTAGGTGGTTACCATTCGGGTGGGAGGACGACTCCGAGGGAATGGAATCCTGATTTGGATTATTGTATATGGCATTGCAGGACGCCGTTTGCGAGGAGGGAATCAGACGGGTGAACAGACCCATGTGCGATTTGAAGGCCGCCTTCAGACCCTTTTGGTCCGCCAAGCTGGCCGTGGATCCCTTGTTGCTCGAGGTGGTGCGAGAAAATATCCCTCGTAATCGGTTTATCAAGCCCGTCTTAGCCTCCGTGGCCTGCTGATGGGCTAAACGGAGGTTAATCAAGTCCTGTGCGGGCAGGCAGGCCTCTTCTAGTTGGGGCTGGGAGGCGAAGGTCACGGAGCGCCTCATCGGGATCTGCATGTACTCCGCCGAGGGCCAACTGGCCCGGGGAATCACAGGTGGCAGCACGGAGAGCAGGAGATTCGGCAGTATTCCCGAGATACTTGGTGTTCTGTTTTTACTGGCAGCCGGGGTTTGCGAGATTCCACTGGTCACCGTCAGTTCCGGCTTTAAGTGACCTCCTCCCGTTAGGAGTGAGGTGGACGACGACGTTGTGGTGGAGGTGGTGGTTAGACCCGACTCAAGCAGCCTCTCCAGCTTTCGAATCTCGGCGTCCAGGGCCTGGATTTCCTTTTTGTACACCCTGTTTTGCACCTCCACCCGGTACTGCAGTTCTCGGCGATCATCCACCACGAATCTGCGTGTGTTGCACTCCATTTTAAGGCCCATGCTGTGGATAACCGGGTCGATAATGTCGTCTGGGGAGAAGGAGAGTACTCAAAAGATTAAGAGGTAACTTTATAAGGGTCCTAGACAGAAGATCATAGGATTGATACAAATTCAGAAATTAAACTTAATTTAGCAAACTAACATTATATTATTGCTCCTCTGAGCAATACTTACTTCTTGCCCAGATGTCGTGGAGCTTTGGGATGAAAAGCAGGCAAAGAGTGGCCGTGGTGCTGGTTAAAATCAGAGCTGTGATTGTGATGAAGGCCAGGGTGACTCGCTCCGAAATCAAGTTGGCCAGAACCACGACGATGGCGCTGGTGATGACCACACTGTAGACCGACACTCCGATGTACTGTGAATCATTGAGAGCAGGGATCTTGACGTGGCGCGTCTCCCAGGCCATATAGACTCCCACCACCAGAAGTAGACCTTTGTAGGCGTACAGGACACTTAGCCACGTTTGCGTGTGCTGCGAACGGCAAACCTCAACCTGAGGCAAATGTATAGAAAAAGAGAGATATTCATAGACTTTATTTGAAGTAAGCCATTTTTCACTTGATTGAGAGCAATCAGGTATTACTCATTGCCAGACAGATTATTATTTGTTATACAGTCAATATTTATATTACCTGAGGCTGGTAAACGACGCTTCTATCAGTCGCACTGATCTCGAGCGTCAGGTTGTGCAGATGCCGCTCCATGGGATCGGTGACCACCCAAAGGGTCACGAGCAGCGCGTCCACCAGAAGCAATCCGCCGACGAGCAGGATCAGCTGGATGTCCTGCAGCATTTTGTCCTTGAAAACGCTGCCGGTGCGCGTGAATATCCGGTGAACTCTGTAGGTCTTGGCAAACATCGATCCAAAGGCCAACGAGAATCCGGCGGAGAGCAGATAGACGCGGGCCTGGTGAACATGATAGGCGGATGACGGGGAAGTTCAGGTTAGGGAGAAAGTACTGTAGCAGCAAAGTAACACACTAAGTGTCATGTCAGGCAGGCCCAAGGAAAACAAGCCGGCGGCAACAATGGGGGAAACAAGTCATCAATGGACCACAATGCTCAGAGTGCTGGAGACTTTGTTGTGCGTTTCAAATTTATGCAAATAAAGGAATATCACAAAAGTTGTAAATTTCCGTGTCATGTGTTTGCATTTCCCTGCCACAACCCTCAGCAATAACAAAAACAAGCAGGCAACTGGAAAAGCGGAACGCCAGAAGAAGTGGTTACAGAAACAGAAACAGAAACAACAGCGGCCAGCAAATTTCCCAGGAGTGGCGTTCGAGGCAGTTGTTAAGGGCGAAAGTGGAAAAGTGGAAAGGCGGAGGGCCTGAAGATCGGGATGGAAAGCTCGTCAAACTCGACTTGGCTTCTAGCTTAAAGAGGAGCAGACTTGCAGCGAAAACCGACGGCTATTTATAGCCAGCAGGGCAGTCGTGCGCCTTGAAAATACACATGGGAAACTAGATTTTCAGTTTATATTAGGAAATATGAAATAACAGAAATGCACAACAATCATCTTCATGTAAATGAACACGACAAATAGTTAAAGCTACATTTCTTCCAGTGCATAAATAAAGCAAACACATGAGCGCGACTCGAAAGTTACCAGCCTGAAACTGAAAGTCATATTTGATGAGGACCCCACATGCTTGCTTACACCCAGAAGCCCGTCAAAGTCAAACAAAGACGGCTGAGCGGAAAGGCGGATGAGAATGCGATAGGAATGGGGATTGGGATGGGGATGGGGATGGGGATGTCGGAGCCGAAGGATAACCACTCACCGTGCAGACCGTAGCGAAGGAGTCCGCCGCCGAGGGCAGCGTCGAGTGGTCCAGACCCAAAAGGATGACGGTGGCGTACACAAAGATGCAGCCCACTGCGGTGATGTTGCTCAGCTTCGGGCTGGAAAGTTTAATTGCCCTGTGGAGTGAGAAGCGGAATGGTCATGGTTATAAGCTGAGGCCAAAGGAAAGAGCTTTGGAGAAAAAGTGCAGAGTAACCGTGGAGTGCGAAACAGATATACTAAAGCTGCTAACGATGGTTTAAGAATACAACTGAAAAGCCAGCCAATTACTTCACTTGAAAAACCGAAACGAGTTACGTGTATAATGGGTTTAATCGGTTGAGCACCAAAAGCAGTTAACTCATCATGGACGATAAAGAAAAAAGGAAGAAGACCGCCCAAAGTCTCTTTTATACAACCACTAAATATTTTATAGGCATTTGATGAAAAATAAGAAATACGAAAAATCGGAGGCCATAAAAAGAGTAAGCCAATGATTTATGTTCTTGTCGCCTCACTTGAGCTTCCGAAAATGCAGATTGAACGCCAGGAAGGCGATGGCCAGGGCGATTCCCACGCTGGAGAGGGTGGCGATGGTGTAGAAGGCCAGTGGTGCGATGGTGGCCACCCGCAGCTTGAACACCCGCTTCGCAATGGGCACCTGCCCGCTGTGCCACTTCACCGGCCGGCAGCGGGGACACCGGAAGTCAAGGGCGTCCGTGGCCGGATAGTAGAGGGCCACCGGTTCCAGCAGACCGCGCTGGATTTGATAGAAGGCAGTGGTGCCAACGCGATCTGGGCCGCTGAAGGACACGGGGCCCTACAAGCAAAATGAACACTCGTGATGAACTTAGCTAAAAGTTGAACGGGTTGGAGTTCAGTTGACAGAGATTACTCACCGACACTCCCAGGAAGTGGAGCTTGCCCATTTGCTGCAGGAACTCCCAGGCCATGTCGCTGCGGGTGTAATCGAATCCGTCCAGCTTCGACTGCTCCTCGTTTCGCCGCCAGTGCTCCTCGGCGGCTCTCAAGGCCAGTGCTATTGCCCACACGGCGTCGTAGGTTTGCGGCGCGTACTGCGAGATCGCCTCCGGAAAGAGGTGTCCTCCGCCGACGCCTCCCAGGCCTCTCCTCCGCCGCCGGCGAGAACCAGAATGCGGTGCAGCAATACTGATCCTGGAGCCAGAGCCAGCGCCGGAGCCAAGTCCATCCTGGCCGTGGAACTGGGCGGACTGCTTGCGCAGCTGGGAGTTGAACATGTGATTGTTCTGCGAAGTGGAAACGCGATTAAACCAGCCTCGAATGCCGCAGCAATGCCGCCAGTAATGAGATTGCCTATAGCAGCTACCACTCCTGCCCAATTTCATGACCAGCACTAAAAGAGCCATAAAACGCGTCTGCGATGGTGAATGCGAATGCGATGACAGGCCGGACTTAGGGGCTTCCCACTTGGCAATCAGCATCGCCATCGCCGTCGCTGAAACCATCGCGAAACGCAATCGCAGCCTCGGGATTGTCTAATCAAATAAATCATTTCATTTCGGACACGCACAGGAAGACGGACGAGACAAAACGACGAGAAGGACAAGATAGTCGCTTGTGTATACAAAAAAATATGGAATAAAAGTCTTGGCAATGTTGCCAAATACAAGTCTGCCTTTGAGAGCTGGGTTTAATCCAATTTGGATCCCGAAATGTATATGCATTTCTTCTAACAATTCATCATAATTTTAGTTTTCACTAATTCTTCCAATTAAATTATTTTCAGTCAAGGTTTGGCTTTCCTCATGCAAAACGGAGTACTATTTTCGCGCAGTGCCCTCCTCAACTTACCAGTCCACTGTAGCTCACGTTATTTCCGACGATGCTGTTGTGCGTCGAGACCACGATGAGGTTCTCGACGGCCAGCTGCAGTTCGTGGTTAGAGCAGGCGGTGCGCTGGTCCGGCCACCACGGAGCACCCATGCTCTCGTGGAGGATCCAGGCGTAGTCCGCCCCGAACATCCGAAGCCTGTAGGCCTCGCACAGGATCTGGGGGGCCAGCTCCTGCGAGAAGCTGCCGATGATGATGCGCGTGTCCGTCTCCTGTGGCGATACGAACGAAACAGAACGGAACGGCATATGCCCATTTGTCATTTGTCATCCTTCGATTAGCACTGGTGCCCACCCACACTCAAAAAAAATGGGTAACAATCATGCTGGAAGAGAGGCTCTGGGCGACGTGGCCTGCTAATGAAACATTTATCCATGCGGGCTGAACGAACCAATAAGCTGAAGACAAACTTAGAGAAATGAGTTAAACAAAGATAGCGCTAATTACAATCATGCACTGAAAACTCTTCTTAATAACTTAGTAAAACTTAGTTAATGCACAAGCTAATAAATTGGTCTATTTAAATATTCGTCGAATATTTGCTCATGCATAAGAATTTAGGATCAACAGAACAGAACTCTATTTTAATTTAACCATATATGAAAATGAAAAATCTGGAAATTTTATGTTTAACTTTCAAACAAATATGCATAACTGTTTACGTTCAACTTTGTTGGTATGAAATACAACGAAAATGTGTCTCTAAATCGAGCAACAGTTGCCTTTTATGGCTCGTAGGAGCTCAAGCTCACCCTGAGTAGCAGCAGCTGCTCCTTGAAGTCGGTGGCCGCAAAGGTGATGGTGGCGGCACAGGATATGTTGGCCGCCTCCAGTTCGGTGACCAGGTTGTTCACCGCCAGCGAGTGAACCTCCTCGTTCTGCGAGAAAGTGGTCACCGTGCCCCAGCCAAACTTTCGGATGAAGGCGATGCGCGCCGGGTTGTGCGAGGAATCCGGGGCCACGGTCCTGTAGAAGTAGGGGAACTCCCGCCTGTCGCTCAACGCCGGCGAGGTGGAACCGAAGGATACCTTTCGTCGAAGGGAATCGTTAGACTATCTGTGTATACACGGGGTCGCTTGAAATGCAAGACACGCTCCTAGCACTCCAGCCCCCTAGCTCATGTGTCTTCCCAGTTTCCCCACTCATTTAACACACGCACAGCCGAAATGAAACTTCAAAGGCCAAATGCAAATGCTCTAAGTGAATTTGTGAACCTCATAATTTGTGGGCTGTGGAAATGTTTATGGCTCAAAGGTTTATGGGGTGCTGGAGTCGGCTGGATTCCGCAGCGCTTATGCTAATCGAGCCACGCACGTGAGTTGATTAGATTTTTGAGAAATTGCCCGAATTGCCCGATGGTTGGATGATTCGAGCGAGTTGGATTATTTGCATTTTAATCAGTCGCAAATGACTCACCTGCACGATGTTCCAGTACGGCACCACCTTCGCCAGGCTCTCGGTAACCTCCGAGCAGGCCGATCCCAGCAGCATCACCATCCTCGTCGAGGGCTGCGTGTAGATGGCGTGGAAGAAGCGATCCACGCCCACTCCAGGATCGCACTGAATGTCGCAGCAGGATTGGGCGGAGAAATGGAGGAGCAAGGACACCACATCAGAGATGAGCAATGGAGGGCAGGGCAAATATCAGGGGCAGAGGCCGTGCTCACTGACTCGTTTCGCCGCAATAAAAAAGCAACATGATGGCGCAATAAACATTTTTAAAATGTCGACTCTGAGAGAGGAGGCACAGCCGGAGATGCGGCTCCAGATATGCCAGTCTGTTTAAGGTCGATGTGCATATGCATACACTTGAAAAATCTTTCGAAAACCTAGTCTCTCTCAGTGCTGAGATCACAGAGGAGCTCGTTTGAATTGCCGGTCTAAACTATAAAAAACCAGTCGGAAAGTTTACTTCACTATTCTGCATGAGCAGTTTACATTGTTGGGAATTCAGTGAGTGACTTTGTTTTTCTTCAGTGACAGCGTTTTGCACATTTGCGTGCCCCATCAAAGCAGGCTACGACTCATCGCAATAAAAGCGCGAAAGACGGAAGGTTGATGACATATTTGCCCCTCTTTTAGGGCCACAGCCGCAGCTGCTATCCGCTCTGTTCTTGTTGTGCCTGTGCAGATTTTCTTATTAAGTTTTAATGTTGCACGCGCTACTGAATGAAAATTCAATTTCGTAATGGAACAGCGACGCCTAGAAGTGGCGCCCAACGTGCGGCATAAGGCTACGCCACGTAGGAATGACATTCTCACCTGAGTATCGTTGGTCACGAGCTCGAGGGTGTAGCCCGGCAGCAGGCGCTTGCGGTTGATGTGCTCCACGGCCATGGTGGCAGCCCCCAGTTCGCTGAGACCATCCGGACGTGGTCCCCGCGACGTGGACAGCTCAAAGAGTCCGAGGAGGACGATTTTGCCATGATTGCGCTGCATTTCGGCCGGCGACATGCGGCGCTCGCTCTCGAACACCTGATTGACCTTCAAGTATCGCTGCCTGGGTGGAAGATTCAGGAGGTGGTGGGCGTGGGAGGCATTGGTGCTTCCAGGCAGGTTGCTGTGCGAATTGAGGCGCTGCTGCCGGCGCTTGACTTTCGTCCGTTTGTACTTCCAATCGGAGCGCGGTGGCACCGGAATCCCCCCGGCAGCCACCGTCGCTGCCGATTCTCCGGGTGGCGAGCTGGACGGGCTGTATGTGCTAATTGAGGCAGCACCTGGCCTAATTGCCTCGTAGCCCAGGGCCTGCAGCTCGGCTGATGACTCCATGGCAGCCGCTGCCGACGTGGCCCAGGCAAGGGCCAGGACTAGCCTCAGTCCCACGGCCGGCCATGGACCGGGACCGTATCTGGCCCTTTGGACCGGTTGAATTATGCGCATCCCGTCGGCAATGGCCAATGGCCCATTAATCACCAAGGCATTGGAATCGTCGGCTATCAGAGGCTGCAGCAACAAACAAACACGAGCCACACGAGCCGCACAGCACAGGACACCGGAATATATATCGCCTTTTTATGCACTCTGCCGACAGGATACGCTTATCGTGTCTCTTCCGACGAGCGGCTCTTCCTTCTGCTCCTTCCTCCTGTATCGGCGTCAATTTTATCGCCCTTTTATTGGCTTCACTTTTGCTCGCATTTTGTATCTTTTTGCACATTCACTCTGCCAGGCATTCGCCCATAAAAGTATGCAATGCTAAGGAGTTTCTCGATAGGTCCGATTGACACGATTGAGTAACACGGCAAGAAACTACACGCCATTCGCAATTTGCTGTGCTTTCTCTTTCCTTGTAAGTTTCAGTCACTTTTCGTAGCAAAAAGTTTTGTCTAATTATGGATCTTTTATGTAGGATTACAAAAATTAGTTGAATATTTTTCTGCATTTTCTAAGTGCTATACTATGTGATTTTAAAGTTGCAAGACGAAGGCTTCGGTGAAATGGACACACCGCGCCGCTCACTTCTCCGCTCATGACTTGTTATGTGCCTGCCACTTGGCCATTATTTTTTATGCTAATGGCCAAACATTTTGCGCTTTCATTGCGGGCTTTTGGACTACTTTTTGTCGCCTCTCACGCGCCACAGATTTCTATGGCAAACGTTTTTCTCTGTATGCGCGCGTATGCATAATTGTTTCGAGATTACCAACTTGCAGTCCCTCGCCACTTTCCCGCTTTCCCGCTTTTCCACCGCCCACTTACCCACACCTAAGCCCACTTTATAGGCGCTTTCCTTCGCGCTTTCTGCTTTCTTTCTTTCCCACAGCACGCTTTTCGCTGTTCGCCTAAAATAACTTTTTGGCACATTTCGCTGTGAAGCGCAGCCCGCTTTGTTTTGTGCTCAGTACAGTGGCGTGCCCCGAAGGGGGCTGCAACCCCACTTAACCCCTCTCTGGCACTCCTTAACCCCTGGGTGCACCGCCTACAGTTGACATTTGGCCTCTACTAACCCGTTTGCACAGGGCTACTCGTGCCACTAACAACTCATATTTGCATGTGCACTGTCGGAAAAATGAATGTGAGACCTTTTTCTCCTAACACAAGTTGTCGATTAAACTAGTTGTCTGGTTTATTTGAACACTTAAGCTGCAACGTACTAAGGGCAGCTCGATTTCGAATTATTTTGAATTAAACAAAACACACGAGTGGTTATTTAATTAAAGCTAGCTTATGATGGTATCAATATGGACAGCTTTGTTTATAAATTATGTTATTAAGAGTAGTGACGGCCACATTTCCTACTGAGTCCAATTTAGTGAATTGCCAATGACCGAACACTAACTAATGCAAGACACTTGAACAATCAACACGAATTAGTATATTTCAATGAGCAACTCATGTTTTCAAATAGTAGGTACAAATGCACCTACTAGAGTGGCAATTATGGTTATGGTACATAATATATATAATTATGTAAGCGTACTAAACAGTCGTATGCAACAAATTCCATAGGGAGCACTCTGGGCTATTTTTTCCCAGTGCAGTGCACATTTGAGTATATGAATATTTAGCTGCTGCTCTACTCTAGTCCTTTCTATTATTCTGCCATATTTCACAATTGTTGCCGTGGTATTTAAACCTGCACTTATTTATGGCCATGTGTGTGTCGCCCCCTCAGCTCCACCCTGCCGCTTTTGGCCATCGCCCGCTTTAGTTGTTATTTTCATGCTTGACATAAATTATGCAAAATGCTGGCTGCATTTGTAATTCAGATTCCATACTCGCTGTTCGTCGTGTGTAAACTGCAGGCTGCAGCTGCTGGTGGCGAAAAAAGAAAAGCAAGAGGAGCTGATATGGAGTGTGCTGAGCACTTTGCCCATTCAGAGATACAGAGACTCAGAGATCCAGAGATGCCATCCGAGATGCGATGTCAGAATGCCTGATGCGATTTGCTATGCAGCCAATACTCAGCTGCAGGCGGATGGGAAGGGTGTGGGAAAATAGCATTGGGGATTTCCACAGGGATTACCACAGACAATGCAGATCCGCTTTTTCGGGTTCACTTAACTAAAACGAGTATTGTCTCTGCTCAGTCGTGGGAAATTACATTGCATTCATAAATATTGCGCATACGACACAGGGCACACACTGGCACACACACTGGCACTGGCACACAAATGACAATTTATTGGCATATCATACATATTCAAGCCATAATTTCATTTGTTTTATTTCATTTGCCATTTCGGCATCGAATCACGCACGACGACGACGTAGGCTTATAACTTCGAGGGTTTTTATCCGGATTGATTTATTTATTTCCGCGACTGCGAAGTGCAACCTACGAGCTCCAGACCGCAACTGTTGGCCGCCGTCCAAGTCGCGCTGCTTTTGTCTGACGACTCGCAGATTGAAAGGGCATCCTCCAAGGAGGCTGGGCTTTCAACTTGCAGCATCCACCTTCAACCGGCTTCTCTCTCTCTCTCCGGCGACCGAAGTGCGGCTGCGCGGCAGAAAGCGCGCCAAAATTTCATTCATGAAAAGGCAAGTCGGAGTTGGGGGAACAAGCAACAAGCTGTGGCAATTGAAAACTGTGCTGGGAAAGTTTATATTATGCAAATTAATGCCCAACATGAAACTAAATAATTTGCAACTGTTATAATGAAAAATTCATTTATCCCGCTGCCAGAAGATTTCCGAGAAACGAGGACAGCTGTCGATTCGCATTGCCTTTGCCTTTGCCTTTGCTGGCGGAACAAAAAGTACAGAACAATGGCGTACTGACAGCGAGGACACTCTTAATTATGGCTGCATTGAGTCAGTCAAGCCGTCTGAAATAGAAGTGTCCGCCCTGGCATTTGTTAAACATTCAATTTCCAGCTGGGAATGAGATGAGTCGATGGGAGTTCTTTGGCATTTCCCAGCTCGGCTGGGCTTGCATAATGCGCCCGAGTTTATTTTTCCTTTTCCTTTCCGTTTTCTGGCTGCCCTTTTGCTTGGTTCGCTTTTGTTTTCGTTTCCCCTATTGAGCTGCAATGAAAAATAATTTGATTTGATTGCTATTCCTCATCATTCTCTCCGTGCATTTCCACATCCATCCGCTTTCAATGACCTCCATTCAAAAAATTGTAATTAATTTTCTGGCCCTCAACTACCAGCCACCAAATTCATGTGGAGAGCTGCATGCGAGTGGAATGGTAAAGTTGATTTTATGAGCTGCCAAACTGCAGTTCGCACAAGCCCACAGCCCCTTCATTACTCTTCTGCGCGCTCCCCGGTCGGGCAATCCATTTGCGAAAATGATTCAATTCAATTCTCTTTCTCTTGTACACAGCAAAAAAGCAAGGTAAACGAAGGCTTCTACTAGCAAATAATTGTTGGATATCGATCCAATACCAAAATGTTTGAGTAATTTGCATGGCGCCAAGCAGGGACACTAAATGAAGTTGGTGATGAGCCTCGAAATATAAAGTGCAACCAAGCTACAGAGGATTTATTTGCAGTGTAGTGCCATGCAAGGTAACTCGATAGATGAAAGGGGGAGCGACGAAGAAGACGGGCGAGCCAAAGATTGCGATTATCGCCACTTGACTTGAGTTCCAGCCTCCTCGGCGCCTTCCATGCAAATTTGATGACACTCCTCCGCTGCCCACCTTCCCCCCGTCGCTGCTCCGGCGCAAGTGACAGAAAGATACAGCATCCATTGGATTCCCGGGCTTTCAGCTACAATGGCAGTGCAGTGGGGACTGCGAATGGGAGTGGGATTGGATTGCGACTGTTGTTTGGTTCCCTTGGTTCAAGTTGGCAAATAAAATGCAATTACACCGCAAAACTCAATTTCAAGTGTCAAAAAGTTGCACTGCACTTAAGAAGTTAGTGATGTTGCGACTGTTGACTACCCCGTAACCTCAGTCCCCTATGAAAGCGGCGAAAGCCGAAAGGCCAAAGTTCAGTTGGGGCACAAAGCGGATTACGGGTACAACGCCTGCTGGAGGAGCAGGAGGAGCAGCCAGATATAAATCCCGAATATGACTTCCTCACTGGCTCACTAGGGCTCGCTGCAGGAGTGATATCCCTGATAATTTATAGCCCAAATGGGCTATATATTGGCCGTGTTCTGTTTATGTTCTCTCTGCTCGCAAACTAATTTGCCGCCGAGGGAAGGGGCCGAAAGGTGGACGTACCGATTGCCGTGTACAAGCGGCCTCCATTTGCATTTTAAATGAGCTGGCTGGAAAACTTTTTACAATGCCACTTGAAATGTCGGAGTAACTTCTCTCAGGCGGGTGCTTGGAATACGGCTTGAAGACTGGACACCTGCACCGTATTATAATAACAAATATTTGCCAAGAGCGAAGGCATATCAAGTAGGACGTAATACTTGCCTTGCTTGCAGGAGTTCAAACGTGGTTTAAGCTGTCTGTTTGCTGAGCAAATCGAATCAAGATTAAGTGTCGCATAACAGCAGGCTAGGTATTTAAACTGTGGGATTACGGAGCGCCGGATTAAGTTTTCACCGAACTGGACCTGTGTTTGGCCAAAGGGTATTCACTGTTCACACTGACTGACCGTTGTGTTGACAACTATCTGTTGTTTGCTCGTTTGGTTCGTTTGGTTCGTGTGTCTCGCTTTGTTTGCGGACACTTGGCAAATTGGCAGCTCCCCGCTTTTAGGCTTCTGGAGGCGAACTTTCGGGCAAGACGAGTGAAAACAGTTTACACGTTCCGGTTTCCACTGCCACTGCCACTGTCGCCGCTGTAGCACATGGCGTATGCGTAATTTAGTGCTGCATACTTTGTGGCGCAAATTTGCACTTTTGTGACTTGTTTAGCTACTCCCGCCCCTCTGCCCCTCTGCTGATGTCCCCGTCTCGACAGCACTTAAAATCAGAAATTCAATTATCTCCCCAACACGCACCACCCCTCATCCCAGCCCCTCCTCCACTTTTTCCAGCCAGGCCTCCCTTTGGAGCAGGCCTGGTTCCATTTCGCACGCTCATTTCACACCTGCGCGCCTTTTCAAGGTTGACAAAGGAATCGGTAGGGAAAGGCAGTTGGCTGGGGAGGAGGCGGCATGTAGGGCACTCTCAGCTTTATTGTCCCTCGGAGTGTTTAGTCAACAGTTGAAATTGCTGGGTTTGGAAATTTGATTCAGCCAAATCCCTCTCCACCATGGACTAGTACAGGTTAAGACAATTTCAAGAGGTAAGTAATGCGAGGCAGGTTCTTGCGTTTTAGACAAAACGAAAGTATCCGAAATACACTTGTATTTCCATCGCTGTGAGATTTGAAGGGAGAGCTAGGATAGGACCATGAAGAGGAAGCTGATTAAACATTTTTTCTGCGTGTATCAGACTTAGGTAAAGTTCTCGAAATCCGCGTCGCTTTCAGGGCAATTTAATTATAATTTTCTTCTTTTTGGGCCTGGTCTGGCGAAAAATTCATTATCGTCGGGGCAAATTAGCTTGAAAACAATTAACACCTGTTCGCCGGCTGCTCGTGGCAGGCCACTTCAAAAACTAACACGGCCGAGCCATTTACCATTTACCATTTACCTTTCGCAGGAGCAGAATGCCTCTTCCGCCTGTGCCTCTCTCTTATTCTAATGAAAAAAGTTGTACAAAAACTTTTCAAATTACAACGGAAATCCGTGAAAATCCTTTTAACAAAGCACAACATGACCAGTCGGCGCAGGGAGCGGAGAGGAAAGGAAAAGCCGAGGGGAAGTGGAGCAGCAGGTCTCCAAGCTGATGCTGATGATGCTGCTGATGCTGCTGATGATGATGATGCTGCTGATTATGATGGCGCTTTAAACAGACATCGGCCCACATCTGCTGTAAGCCGGTACCCCCATCACGTGCAACCACCGCCGTCACCACGACAAACCGCCGCCTGTCCCACCGGCTGTCGTCCACTTTTGTGTCGCGGTTTTCCAGCAGAGCAAAGGAAAAGCTGCGACTGTGACTGAAGCTTGCAAATTGAGTTAGTCGCCAGATGGCCAGCAGGCACACAGAGCAAAAGATCAATAGCTGTTCGATATACATTAGCAGTGTTTATATGGAGTTGGCGCTTAGCTTGCGTTAACAATTCCTTTTTAAGTATGAAATGAAGCATGTCGAAGTCATTTACGTTCATACCGGCCAACTATGATGGCTCACGCACTCATCACTTGGCTTCTGTTCGATTCCCCAATACATTTTCACGCACTTTCCCAAGTTTATTTATTGACTGCGGCTGAGCCCGAACCTCTTATATACTCCCATTTCCTTTCCCGATTTTCCACAAATGTTTCCACAACAGCCGCTGCCGTCGGAAAACTTTGCACTTTTAATGAAATATATTCAATTTTTCAGGTGTTGCAAATATTTAACATTTTGCAACTTTCTGAATATGGATCTCCAAGAGGGTGAGAAAATCACCACACCTCCAAACCACCCAACCGCCCAACCACCCAACCACCAAACCACCCAACGCACCACAACTGCGGTCGCTGAGTGGTTTCCGCGCAAAAAGGTTCAAGGCGAAAAAACGTGAAACATTTTAAATGTTAATTAAGAACGGAACAGAATCGGATAATTTGCATGTGCTCCGGGTTCCTGCCGCTCCATCCCGGTTAATTGGATTAGGTTCCGTTTGAAAGTTAACGTTTTCGGGTTTTCGCCCCAAATCGAATTAGCTGTTCCAAAAGCCGAACAGAAACAGCGAAAAATCCACACACAATATTTTCGGCTGGCTGTAAATTCAACTTCATTTGATTTATTTCGGGATCGGATTTGGCTGCTGATTGCCACACGAGATATTTCGCACTAGTACTTGCTAGAGTCTGCGCTCGAAAATAGTGAACGGCTCGTTGAATTTCTCTTCAGTTAAGCACTACTCAAAAGTCACTTTTCAAGATAATTTGATGTATTTATTAAGGGGATTTTGCGAAACAGAGTTATACCTTCGAAGTAAGGAAAAGGCACGCATTCCTTGTACCGGGAGAGCACTGTACTAATATTCTACCCGCTGCGCCCGCTGGGTCTGTGCGAAATACAGACTGCCAAGTGCTGGCGGCCAAGAGTCGTCTTTTATACCGACCAGCATCAATGTGGCCAATTGGGCCTTCAACTCGGTTCAACCAATGCGAGTAAGCTCGGTTCGCCGGCTGTAAACAAACGACAGCTGTTGCATGTGGCACCCTTTACGTGGGTGTCGCTTTCTCGGGCAGCTTTTCCTTAGCCGCGTCGCGAACCAGTTTATGGCACTGCCTTAGTTTCTATACTGCACTTGCCATAAATGAGTAACAGCTAGTCCAATCCAATCAACGCACTCGTTCTCTCTGAAGAAATGCTTATAAAATGATTAGGGATTCCCAGAAAATCACTGTCTATGTGTAGTACCTCAGCATGGCGGGTTGTGCTCTATT